CTCCATGAGTTGGTTTGGAAACCCATTATGGGATTCTGAGATACATTACCAAGGATATTATTACAAGATAAATCATTTGCTTCATTGAACACATACAACAATGCATATTTCCACTGAGATCAGTGACCTTTGATGTGTATCACCAGTGATTAGTCAAGTAGAAACAGTCAAAATATTTTATCAGATTTTCTCAATTTTTGCATGATATTTTCATACAGGACATCTGTTGTTCAAACTCAGGGAAGACTTTATACTGATGAATAAGGTGACCAAGTTTGATAAAGTTTGGAATAGATTTAGTAAAGTTATTATGCACACAATAACAATTATTAACGACGACGACGACAACGACGACGACGACGACAATGACGACGATAACGACAACGCCAGACAAAATTTTTCCCTTAATATACCTTTCCCTTCCATCTTTGATGGTACCGGCAAAGTAAAAATGAACAATATGTATAGTATCAAAACATTCAGACTTGCTGTTTTCAACAAGATGTGGAAAATATCACTTTTTACCAAAAATGACAAAAATATTCACCAAAATTAGAGAATTGAAAATATCATCACAAAATGAACAAATCAGAGAGAGGTCTACCCAAGGTACATATACACCAAGTATCAAAGCATTCAGGCTTGTAGTTTTCAAGAAGTCGAAAAAGTAAAACATTGACACGGACAACAACGACGGACAATCACTCATATGATAAGTCGACAGCGGAGCTAAAAATTACATTGCGGAAGTTGAGCAATGTTGTAGCACGATGTGTTGGCATCAATTTCAATTGAAAACTGCATGATGGTTTTCGAAAGAGGTGATTAGCAATTTTTAAAAGGGAAAATAGGTCTTGAAAGAAGACTTTTTACATGATTCGCGATAACAGTTCAAATGTATTTTACCAAATCACGCAATAAACAAGTTTTTTTCGTGAATAGCGTAAATTTATCGTGAACTCTGTTTTGACCATGTTATATCGAGGTAGACTTTATTTTAAAAAGAATTGTAGCTTTTAATTTAAAGACTGTCTATTGCAGAAAATATTTACTTACAAACAAAGAGGAGCTAATTTTACAAAATTGACTAGCCGCTATGTATCGTGCGACTAGGTCTATTTACAAATTATAATCCACGACTGGCAGGATGCCTGTCGGTCGGTAAGTAATTATAATAACAATCAAACAATAGTCCTGGTCGGAAGCGTTTCCGCAGTGGTCACTAATTTTGAGTGACGGTCGGGGCCGACCAGCGTGGCGAACAAAGCTTTTGCACATCTGATATTGGCATGTCAAAAATGAAATCAAGTGCCGAGGTCGGAACACATAGCGCCGAGGTCCTAAGTAAAGCGCTGAGGACCTCTGTGCTAAAAAGCCCTGGGAAGAACCCTGATGCTAATAGTGTGGTATGGTGTATAATGTATAATTGCAATCAGTCAAGGCATGTCAGACATGATTTGAAAACATTTGTTATTATTAAATTTCAGTCACTTGGTCACATTTAATCTGAAAAAACAAAACCAAAATGATGTCCAATGCATGTATCATGTTTGCACAAAATGTATACACACAACAGAGATCTGGTTGTGGTATAACAGAAATGCTCCATTGTGATTAAATTTTCAGCATTAAAAATATTCAGCTGTCTTGAATAGACATTGATTGTCAATGCACTTCTCAGATACAGGCGAGGACAGACAGACATGAACTAAAATAATCGTCTAAGTCTGAGGAGTGAAGGAATTGGAATTACAGATGAGACTTACCTGAGGGTATAACGTGACTGGCCAGTGTTCGAGATACTGCAAGGCGTACATTTGGCACATTGTCCCTTGCTAATTCTAGCAGATGGGGTAATAGCTCCTCTGCAAAGTCATCCTCACAGAGTGACTCTTCTGCTAACAGTGATTGACACAGATGAGCAAAACTGAAAATCAACAAAATAGGTTTTTGTACATCAGAAATCAATGTCAACCGACAGTCATGAAATCAAATGACAAAGAAAATACACATTGGTTTTTCATATGTGACTGAAGCTGCAATCACTCTATAACCAGACAACAATAACTGGTAGAATAACTATATAATGTCAAATTGAAATTAAAATAAATAAACTTAATTGTAAAATAGATTTCATACATGGCAAAAATTTTAAATGATCAATTATATCACCGACCGTCTAACCAACGTAGGCAACAAGCTTCGCAGATTACTGGTGTTGTCTTACTAATTCAGCTGCGACACCTTAAGGTAGAGATGGAGTTTATTTGTGAATTTCAATCAAAAATAGTTTTTTTTTCGTTTTTCATAAAAAATTTTATCCAAAGAACATTGTGTCAAAATTTGACCAATGAATTCTTATTGAAACACCGTTAAAACTGCTGGTTATTTTCCGATTAAAAATAAACAAGTCATTGTCAATGACACGTCCCCGTTCCGTTCATATTTGAGTGACATATACATTCAAAGCAGATCATGACCGAAATGCACCTGCATATGTACAACACATTGTACTAAATCTGAACAAAATCCATCCATGCATGACTGAGATCTGGTTCCGGAATTGTGAAAATACGTGATTTTAATGCATTTTCGGTCTTAAAATGGCCATCATTCAGCTATTGTTAAGCGGATCATGAAACAAATGCACATATCTATTTGTGACATGATGTACCTTGTGTGTGTGAAGTTTGAACTTGATCAATCCAGACATGTCTTGGATACGGATCCAGAACTGAATTCTTTAAAACAAAATGGCCGCCAGTCGGCCATTTCGAACTTGATCCGAAAAAAAAAATGACGTGCATCAAGGTCCTATTATGTTTAATGTATGTACCAAATTTGAACAAAATCCGTCCATGCATAACTGAGATCCGGGTCCGGAATGGTGAAAATGTGCGATTTTGATGCATTTTCGGCCTTAAAATGGCCGCTATTCGGCTATCGTTAATGGGATCATGAAAAAAATGCATGTGCATATGTCCCATATAATGTGTGATGTATGAGTGAAGTTTGAACTTAATCGGTCCATGCATGTTCGAGATACAGGTGATCACGGACGCACGGACGGACGCAGTCCCCATTT